GGCAATCTAATGATCACACCAATAATGAATTACAATGGTAATTATTTTCATTGCTTTTTTTTTTTTAATTACAAAAGGAATAATGACAACTATGACAGGTATTCTGAAGGATAATGGGCACTTCCCCAAAGAAGAACTGATGACTGAGCTGATACTTGAAGGAAGACCAAACATTAGTCTTCATACCCACTGCTGTCGAGTCCGATCCGACTCACAGTGACCCCTCCTTGGGCTTCCAAGGCAGGATCACTATGGAAGTAGATTGCCCAATCTTCCTTCTGAGGAGTAGCTGGTGGGTTTGAACCTCTAGCTGTCTGGTTAGCAGACACTACGCCACCAGAGCTTAGGCACTACGCCACCAGAGCTCCCAGGCCCTGGTCAGATGCTTACATGAATGAGCTCATCTATTCTCACCGCATTCCTATAAATAGATGCCATATTACCCCCACGAGGGACAATCTGAGGCACAGGGAGGTTAAGCATCATGCCTAAGATTGATCAGCTATTAAGAAGTAGGGTCAGAATTCAAACCTGACCCCAAGCAGTCTGACACCAGAGTTTGTGCTTTTAATCACCATGTCTGGTATGCTATTAATGAGACAAGTGGAAGGCTTAGGGTAGGGGGATGACATCCAAGCAGAGGGAACATCGGGCAGAGAGATCTCAGGGTGTATGAGCATCAGGAGCTCTGGTAGCATAGTGCCTAAGGCACTTGACTGCTCACCAGAAGGCTGGCGGTTCAAACCCACCAGCCACTCCTCGGAAGGAAGGTTGGGCAATCTACTTCCGTTGTGATACTGCCTCGGAAACCCAAGGAGGGGTCGCTATGAGTCGGGGCCGACTCGACGGCAAAATAACAACAACAACAACATGAGCATCAGGAGGAGACGGGACTAGAGCAGTAGACAGGGGCCACGCTGAGAGGATTCTGGTTTTATCTGAACAGCAACAGGAGACTGTGTGTGAGTCTGAGGCAGGAGAGTACCATGATCAGATTCGCATTTTTAAAACCTCACCTCACTGCTGCATGGAGAATGGATTAGACGGGACCCGAGTGGTCTAGCAGTTATGGAAGGAGAGAAGCAAACAGGACTGAGATAGAGTCTAGAAGCTGAATCTAGCTGAGGGTTGGATACAAAGGTGAAGCGGAAAGAGGAGGCAAGGGAGACCCCCAGGTTTCTAACTTAAGCAACTGAGGAGCTGCTGGTGTCTTCATGGTGATGGGCAAGTCAAGGAAAGGACTGGGGGTACTTTGGGAGGGAGGCTTTGGCCTCAGTTCCTCTGGGGTGCCTCAGAGACTGCAAGCGGAGATGTTCAGCATGTGGTAGATGTTCCAGTCTGGAACACAGCAGAGAGGTCTGTGCTGGAGGTGGTCTGGGGAGTCATTAGTAGATGGCGGGAACTGAAGCCACAGGAGAGGAGGAGAACGTGCAGAAGACCAGAGGCCCATGGCACTGACTGCTTCCTGAGAGGGTCAGCGTGAGCCCTCTGTGGCAGGATGTGTGGAGAGTGCTTGGTGCTGTCACTGGGACTCCAGATTTGTGCTTGTGAGGGTACTTAGCCGCGAACGATGTGGCCGGCCCTCTCCTGTGCCCCACCTGGGATGGGCAGGCACTGACCTCTCCTTCTGCTCCCCAATCCCAGGGCCACCACCACCTCTGAAGACCCGCTCTGTGCTCCGGGGTGATGATGTCCTCCTACCTTGTGACCAGCCATCCAACCTGGCCCGGGCCTTGTGGCTAGTCAATGGGAGCGTGGTTCTAAGCGATGGGCAGGATGGCTACCGTGTGGGTGTGGATGGGCTGTTGGTGACAGACACGCAGCCTAAGCACAGTGGCAACTATGGCTGCTATGCTGAGGAGAATGGCCTCCGCGCTCTGCTGGCCTCCTACAACCTCACCGTCCGGCCGGCCACTCCTGCCCCGGCCCCGCAGGCCCCTGCCGTGCCTGGGGCCCAGCTGGCGCCCGACGTGAGGCTGCTCTATGTGCTAGCCATCGCTGCACTTGGTGGCCTCTGCCTCATCCTGGCCTCCTCCCTCCTCTATGTGGCCTGTCTGCGGGGAGGACGACGAGGGCGCCGACGGAAATACTCCCTGGGCCGGGCCGGCCGCACAGGGGGCTCTGCTGTGCGGTTGCAGACAGTCTCTGGCCAGTGTCCTGGAGAGGAAGATGAGGGTGATGATGGGGAGGGGGCTGAGGGCCTGGAGGGCAGCTGCCTCCAGATCATCCCTGGGGAGGGAGCTCCAGCCCCACCGCCCCCGCCCCCACCCCCACCCCCAGCCGAGCTGACCAATGGGCTGGTGGCCCTGCCCAGCCGGCTGCGCAGGATGAACGGCAACAGTTACGTGCTCCTGAGGCAGAGTGACAATGGAGTGCCGGCCGGGCCCTGCTCCTTCGCTGAGGAGCTCAGCCGCATCCTGGAGAAGAGGAAGCACACGCAGCTTGTTGAGCAGCTTGACGAGAGCTCCGTCTGAGCCAGCTCCAAGGCAGACGCTCTGCCGAGCCAGCCCACCAGACCCGGGCTGGGCCACTGCCTCCCCGCTGCAGCCACTCTACTCTCACATCCCCTACTCCAGACCCTTCTCCCAACTCTTTGGTGTCCCTGTAGGGCTGGCCGGAGTCAGGCCCAGCCACAGCCCCCTTCTCAGTCTCCACAGACCCATGTGTGAGCAGCCCGGGCCCACCGGTGCTCCTCAGAGGTAGGTTCTCCCCAGGCCCAGGGCCTCCATTCCTGTAGCGCACCTAAGTGTTTGAGAGGACACCATCGTCCTGCCCCGTTTATCTGCTCAAACCCTTCCTTTCTCCCAGGCAAGGCTCTGCGGGGCCAGAGGGCCTCACGTCGCCACCCTCTGCATGGCCCAGTGTGCTGGATGGTCCTGAAGCCAGACAGATGCCCACCAGCCACCAGAGCCACCTGAGTCCTGCGTCCATTCACACATGCACGTGGAAGAACGTCAGTCTGCTGGGCTGCAGTGCCCCTACCCTGCCTTCTCCCGGTGCATTCTCGTGTTTCACTTTCTGGACTTTGGGTGCCCTCCCAATTGCCACATCCCATGCTCTCTCATCCCCTTCTCTGGTGCCAGCCCCATGTAGTGACCTCTCTGGCAAGAGCTTGGACACAGGCCAGCCTGGGAGGGAAGACTGCATCATTCCCCTCTTCTCCCTTTGTGTGCACCCCTGTGAGTCAGCCTCCCCACTCCCCTTGGTCCCTGTTGAGTGACAGACAGAGCTCCAGGCGCGTCCCTTCCTCTCGCATAGTGGCAACGCTGTACCACAAACGTGCTTACATTTCCACTCACACTTACCTTCTGAGGCTCCCCTTGCTGCTGTGACGTGTCTATCAAGTTTGGTCCACGGACATTATCAGAGGGAGGTCCCCCTCCTGTCCACCTGTCCTTGCAGACCCTTCTCTAGGACAGGTGACCAACACTGCACTCAATGAGCCAGCCTCCCTTTCGGGGATCAAGCATTTGCTACCCCCAGACCAGCGCAGGGGAAGGGAGGAGCAATTTGTCGTCTCCCCTGGCACATGAAGCCCTTTCTTGGAACTATGCAAAGGGCAGAGGCTGGGAGTTTGGGTGCTTGGCTCCCACCCCTGTCCTACCTCACCGGGGCACTTTTAGGGTCCAGGGGACTCAGAGGTCTCTACGGCCAAATGGGACAATCAAATCCTGACTGAGCTCCCCCTGTCCCTTGGGTGAGGATGACTGTTATTTTTGTAGCTGAGAGCGTGGAATCCCACGGGTTTTTACTGCCCTTCACCCAGCCTCTCCCACCTCTACCCCACAATGAATGTAGTTATTGTGAGAACGGCTATACTTCTTTAGGAATGTCCCACTCACCACCCAGTGGAACAGGCATGTGACAGAGTGGGGAGCCTGGGCTCAGCTCCTCCCCCCGTGTCAGTTAATAAATACCCTCTTTCCCAGAACCATGAGTGGTCTGCTTGGTCTAGACTGGTCTTTCCCTGGTGACCAGGGGACAGGCTTCGGAGCCTGTGGGGAAGGTGCCACAATTATTTGTGCATCCAGGGTTGGCTGTGCTCTCCACAGAACCACTTGCAGAGGAAACTGGGATCCTCAGCTTCCATCCTGGGCTCCCACTATTCATCAAACATGGTCTTAAGGGCGTGACAAACCAGGGAATTACAACAATTTATACAAAAATGTCTAGATTTTTACTTCTTGCTTCTCTTTTTCACTGTCCCTTTTTAGTTAAGCCTAGAAGATGTTCCTTTCTTATCAGCCCTCCTGTTCTTCCCCAAAAAGCTTTTCACACCACTCCACCCCACCGACATCCCAAGGAAGGACATAAATTCATTTCAGAACAAAGAGGGACCTGGCTGGGGGAAGTAGAGCAACTGGAGGGCAGAAAACTTGTTACCAGGGACTTGGCCTGAGAATCACTCCCTCTAGGGGTCAGGCCTAGATTAAGCACATAGCCTTTGACCCTGACCACCATGAAGGGCTGTTTTGTGTTCTGCTTCTCGTTTGGGAATAATGAAAAATGGGGCTTGTGTTTAAAATATGTACACATATTGAAGTAAGACCTCAGATGTGACCTTAGGTAACTTTATTAACATCAGTTTTCTAATCACGTTCACAAATAAAGTGCTCACAGCATAGAATAAAATGCAAGCAGTCTGGTGCAATGGGACATCCCAGTTCAGAAGCCAGGATTGAGCCTCTCCAGGTGTTTTGACATCACTATTGTTAATTTGGATTCTAGAAAATGAGCACCCTGTAAAATCCTTGTAAGCTTTCGTGTTTTAGAGATGCCAGCTGGATAATGATTAGAGGGCTCACAAAGTCACTGTCCTTATCAGTGGGCACTGAAAAGAAACAGGCAACTCTTCATCCCAGGAAAAAGCTTTGGTGTCAACTTCCCCATGGGTGAACTCCATTTGTCTGCTTGGGCATGGAATCCTGAGTCAAGAGGAAGAACTACCTTTGAGAGGGTTAGAGTTCAGAGCCTGGGGTTGGAGTGAGTAGGGCCACTTGTCACTGCGCTTGCACCTGAGCTGGGGCTGCATCCTGGACCTCTCGGGGGCGCAGTCCGCCGGGCGCTGTCGGTTTGTTGGTGAAAGGGTGCCACTGGCCCTGAATGCTAGGGCTGTCCGTGTGGAAGGGCTTGCGGATGCGGATCACTTCAAGACCGGACTGGTTGGCCAGCTTCTGCACCAGCGTCGCAATCTCCTCGGCCGACTTGCAGTGGATGCTCTCCTCGCGAACAGCACCGTTAACTGGTCGGGGCATGGGGTGGGGGGAGTGAGCGGAAGCTGAGTAGGCCGAGCCTCCAAGCCTACCCACCCTCCAGCCCCAGGGCACTCACGGTATTCCGCCACCACTCTAGGCACACAGCACGGCCGCGTGTTCACGTAAATTACGACCCCTGGGTTCCGTCGGGCGAAGTCGGTCACTTCCTGTTCCACGAACTCCCTGAAGACCCGGGAAGAGTGAGTACGGTGGCCCCTGACCAGGGGCGAGCCCTGCCCGGATACGTACACCCGCCCTTCCCCCGGTTCACCTGGCGCCACGGGACGAGGGCGCGTCGCGGCTGAGGCTGAAGCTGAGACGCTGCAACTGCTGCACGTAGCGTCCCAGGCCGTTGTGGAGGACACTAGTCAAGAAGCGGCTCGCAGTCCCGCGCGCGGTCATGGCGACAGCTCAGAGGCCGCGGTGCCTAAGCGGAGAGGAGGCGGGACTAAACCCAGGAACTTCCGGTTCCGAGGAGCCCGGGCAGAGTTTTGCTTCCGAGATTAAGGAGAGAGGCGCGTGCGGGTGATCCACACTGCAGGCGAAAGGGGTGAGGGAAAAGTGGTGACTCGCGGGCAGGGTCCGGAGACGCGGAGCTTCTAGTAGTAAAGCCAATGGAGGACACAGGCGTAGATAGGGAGGCAGGCGTTATTTTGGGCTCAGAGATTGGCAGGGATCGTGAAGAGGCGCTCTAAACTGGTTGAGGGTTCCTGTGAAGAGGGCTCTAGTTGGGGACCTTGAGTAGAGGGAGTGCGAAAAGGATGTAGATAACTGTATAGGCTCATGGTAGAGATGAGGGCGAGGAGATTCCGGGGAGGAACAGTAAAGGTGAAGAGATAACGTAGAGCGACCATAGTGATGAGGGGCGGTGTAGAGGGTCATAGAGGTGAGGATGTGGTAGAGAGAAGCTGAAAAGGACCATAGAGATAAGGATGTCATATAGAGGGACATAGACGTGAAAGAGGAGGCCTTGACGCAAATGGTTAACCCCTGACTACTAGCCAAAAAGGGTTGGCTGTGGGAACCCATCCAGGGGATCCTTGGAAAACAGGCCTGGTGGTCGGCTTCTGAAAGGTTCATAGTCTTAAAATCCTTATGGAGCAGCTCTGTTCTGCGCACATGGGGTCGACATGAGTCAGAATCAATTCACGGCAATTAACAAACGTGAAGGGCTCTCATAGGTGGGCATAGATGTGAAGAAGCAATATAGAGGGGCTGAAGAGGGCTCATAGAGATGTTTGTGGGAGAGAAGTTTGAGGAGAGAAAGAAGCCACATACAGTGAGCTCTGTGGAATGCTGTGAGGAGGTTCTCTACAGTCCGGCCTAGTTAGGGCACCAGAACCAGGTACCTAAGGCATTTCCAGTAGTGACTTCCTCCATTTGGCTAAGAATGTGGGTCCTCCTGCGAGGCGGATACCCTCTCCGGACCCTACTGCCTCTGCGTGGGGAATGGATGGGTCGGAGGGGCCTGCCCCGAAGCTTGATCCCAGGACCTCCTCGCAGACGGTACAGGAAGGAGGCTCTTCCAGCCTTAGATGTACCAGTGTTGCCTGTAACTGCAACTGAAATCCGCCAGTATTTGCGGACACATGGGATCCCCTTCCAGGATGGCCACAGCTGCCTTCGGGCACCAAGCCCTTTTGCAGGGGCCTCACAGCCCAAGGACCATACTGGTGTTACCACTTCCTTCAGCCTCTTCATTGACAAGACCACAGGCCACTTTCTCTGCATGGCCAGCCTAGCTGAGGGGAGCTGGGAAGACTTCCAAGCCAGCGTGGAGGGGCGAGGGGATGCAACTAAGGAAGGGATCCTGCTTAGTGAGGCTCCAGAAGCTACAAACAGTGAGGAGGTCCGGAGGATCTGGGACCGAGCAATACCTCTCTGGGAGCTGCCTGACCCAAAGGAGGCCCAGCTGGCGCGTGTGATATTTGGCCTTACCAAGGTGACAGATGACACGCTCAAACGTTTCAGTGTGCGGTATCTACGGCCTGCTCGCAGTCTTGTCTTTCCTTGGTTCTCCCCTGGAGGCTTGGGATTACGAGGCCTAAAGCTAGTAGGGGCTGAAGGCCAGGGGGATGGCGTGCACTATGTGGAGACCACCATTCCCCGGCCTGCTGACTACCACAACCTGTTCGGATTACCACTGATCAGTCGCCGAGATGTTGAGATGGTACTGACTAGTCGTGAGCTGGACAGCCTGGCTTTGAACCAGTCCACGGGGCTGCCCACCCTTGCCCTACCCCGGGGAACAGCCTGCTTACCCCCTGCCTTACTCCCTTACCTCGAACAGTTCAGACGTATCGTGCTTTGGCTGGGGGATGACCTTCGGTCCTGGGAAGCTGCCAAGTTGTTTGCCCGAAAACTGAACCCCAAACGATGTTCTTTGGTGCGGCCTGGGGACAAGCAGCCCCGTCCTCTGGAGGCCCTGAAGCAGGGCTTAAGTCTTTCTCGTATTCTTCGTACTGCCCTGCCTGCCTGGCACAAGTCTATTGTGTCTTTCCGGCAGCTACGGGAGGAGGTGCTGGGAGAACTGTCAAATGTGGAGCAAGCAGCTGGTGTCCGCTGGAGCCGCTTCCCAGACCTCAATCGTCTATTAAAGGGACATCGGAAGGGCGAACTGACAGTCTTCACAGGTGACCCTTTGGGAAATTACTGTTTGGGGTAGAGGGGCAGAGAATCAGGTGGCCAAAGCATGTGGATTTGGGCCACTATAGATGTTGGAGAAGAGAGTTCCCTCCTAACCTTAAAGCCCTGACCTGTTTCTTGGTGATTTCAAGGTATAGGAATTTCCTCCCTTACCCAGGTCTGTGTTCATTCCTCCTGCAGGGCCAACAGGCAGTGGAAAGACAACATTCATCAGTGAATACGCCCTGGATTTGTGTACCCAGGGGGTGAACACACTATGGGGTAGCTTTGAGATCAGCAACGTGAGACTGGCCCGAGTCATGCTGACACAGTTTGCTCTGGGACGGCTGGAAGAGCAACTGGACAAATACGACGAATGGGCTGACCGTTTTGAGGACCTGCCCCTCTATTTCATGACTTTCCATGGGCAACAAAGCATCAGGTGAGGTCCCCAGACCCAGCCACTCCCCCAGAAAGATCCCAGCACTCAGGACCTTTGGTTCTTTTTCCATCTCCAGTGGAAACTCCTTCTAGGTCTAAGGTTTTCAAAGGGTGGGACGGCAGAACTGGCCCCTGACAGTTTTTAGGACGCTAGCTCTTCTGCCTGGGATGGTCTGGGGAATGCCTATAATTGACCCTTGAATCCATTACCTCTTCCTCTTCCCAGGACTGTGATAGATACGATGCAACATGCAGTCTATGTCTATGACATTTGTCACGTGGTTATCGACAATCTGCAGTTCATGATGGGTCATGAGCAGCTGTCTACAGACAGGTGACTGTCCCTCTTGTCAAACTGAAACCCCTTTGAGCACATGTCTTCTCAGGCAGCTAGCCTCTAGGCACACACACTATAATCTATTATTTTTTGAGATGCAAGCAGGCACATACAACCCATGTGCAGTTCTAGCTTTACAGAGGTATAGGATATGGCAGTAGGAAATACGGACATGAGCCTGAGCATGAATCCTTGGGAAGAGGGTGTTAGAGTGGAGGTGGGTGGTTTTTGAGGAGATATGAATGAATAATGAGTGTGTGTATATTTGTTCTTGTCTTGTTGTGGCCAATGACCTCTTTCTTGGGCTGGGGACAGGATTGCAGCTCAAGACTACATTGTTGGGGCCTTCCGGAAGTTTGCTACAGATAATAGCTGCCATGTGACACTGGTCATTCACCCCCGGAAGGAAGACGATGACAAGGAACTGCAGACAGCATCCATTTTTGGCTCAGCCAAAGTGAGTGGCCTTTGAAGGAGCCCAGTTTTGGGGAGTAGAGAAGGAAGAGGTAACCAAGGGTAGCCTTCATTCAGCCTTAAATCATTTCCTTGGCCATCCTTCTGGGGAGGCTGCCTCTGGAGCAATGACATGAGGAACATGCTGGGAATACATGAGCTGGTAATAGTTGGTCTTTTGCCCTCCTTTAGTCAGGGAAACAATAAGCCATTAATTACAACTCAGTATGATAAAAGCTGTGATTGGCAGCACAGGTATTTGAGCAAAGAGAAAAGATTATGAGTCAGCCTTGGACATCTTAGGAGATTGCTCAGAGGAGATGTCAGCAAAGGTTGGGTTGAGTTTTGACAGACTATAGTTTAGAAGATCAAATAAATGGGAGGATCTTTTGTGCGGCGGGATTAGCCCAATCCTGAAGCTTCCAGGATGACACTGAGTGCCTGTTACATGCCAGGGCTGGGCTTGACCCAGGGATACAGGGTGAGGAGCACCAACTATGTGCCTTGATGGGACAAGGAGCTTAGGAAGAGAATCGAGGCATCCCCATGTTACGAACAAGATCAGTTCCTGTGTCTGTGAAGTTGGACAAGGTGTACATGGTGCTTAATTAGCCTAACTTTAGTGCAAGAAGAGGAGCTGTGGTGGCACAGTGCCTAAGGCATTTGACTGCTAACTAGAAGGTTGGTAGTTCAAACCCACAAGCCACTCTGCAGAAGATGGGTTGATCTACTTCTGTAAAGATTTACCACCTCAGAAACCCAGGGGGATCGCTCTGAGTCAGAATCAATTCAGTGGCAGTGAGTATGCTATATGTTAGAGCAAGAAAAGGCTCTAAACCTTTTCAGTGATTTAAAAGCTGCACAGGCAGCAAGTGAATGTGATTGTGATAAAGACTTTGTTGCAAGTAGATGTTGGTTCAGTCTTTTAAAAGTGATGCGTATTTATAAAACATTAAAGCAGGGCTTCAAAGATGGTGGCCAACTGCTGCTCTGAATGTGTGTGGCTCTCCACAGTCATGCCAGTAATCCAATCTCATGCATCAGGCTCCTGAAAGGGTAGCATAGTGCCTAAGGCACTTGACTGCTCACCAGAAGGCTGGTTCAAACCCACCAGCCACTCCTCGGAAGGGAGGTTGGGCAATCTACTTCCGTAGTGATACTGTCTCGGCAACCCAAGGAGGGGTCGCTATGAGTTGGGGCCGACTCGACGGCACATAACAACAACAACAACAACACCTCCTCTGAGTCTCCCATTCCAGGGCTTTGATCCATAATTTTTCCCATTTCAGCCACCGTGATGAATCACCCAAATTGTAAAAATTCCAGCCTATTCCTGTTTCACTTTGTCGCCATGACGACCAGTTCAAAGCCTTGCATTAAAGGGCGAGTAGGAATTGTCCGAGGAGCTCTGGTAGCATAGTGCCTAAGGCACTTGACTTCTAACTAGAAGGCTGGCAGTTCAAATCCACCAGCCTCTCGGAAGGAAGGTTGGGCAATCTACTTCCGTAGTGATACTGGCTCAGAAACCCAAGGAGGGATTGCTATGAGTCGGGTCTGACTCAATGGCACATAACAACAATAACAACAGGAATTGTCCATAAGTTGTATGTTCATAACCTGGGGACTACCTGTAATGTGGAAGTGGAAAGATGGTTCTTTATTTAGAGTGGTCAGAAGGGTCTGTCTGATGAAGTGTGACATTTAGACTGAGACCTGAATGATGAGAACAAGCCAGGGTTGGGTGGGGTGGCCTGCTGTGGAGAAGTGTTAGGAGCAGAGGGAGCACCATGTCCAAAGTCTGAGACAGCAGTAAGCTTGTCAAGGAACTGAAAGACTGGAGTGGCCCCAGCAGCATGGTCAAGAGTTGAAAGAACTGTGGTGATGGGGCAGGCACTTCACCTTGTGCCTTCAGCCTTTTCTGCATTTCTCCTATGTCTTCTCACTCACATCTGTCTTTCTCCTTCTGTCTCTCCACCCCAGGCCAGCCAGGAAGCCGACAATGTTCTGATCCTACAGGACAGGAAGCTGGTAACTGGGCCAGGGAAACGCTATCTGCAGGTGTCCAAAAACCGCTTTGATGGAGATGTGGGTGTCTTCCCACTCGAGTTCAACAAGAGCTCCCTCACCTTTTCCATCCCACCGAAGAGCAAGTCCCGACTCAAAAAGATCAAAGATGATAATGGACTAGTGGCCAAAAAGCCCTCTTCTGGCAAAAAGGGAGCTGCGCCCCAGAACTCTGAGACGTGCCCAGGCCAGGCGCCCAATCCCTAGCAGCCAGACAACTGCCAGCCTCCAGGATGAAGGCGGTGCGAAGCTGAATACGGAAGTGAGCCTGACAAGACAGGCTGGAGCAGAGACTTCTTTTCTGACCCTCTATCCACTGATTTGTAGTCCTGAGCTGTGGGCTCTTCTCAGTCTGAGGGGCCATTTACAGATATCTGAGAACCTGCTCTGTACCAGGCTTTGTCCTGGGCCCTTGGGGTAGAGCACTGAGCATGACAGATGAAGTCCCTGCTTCCATAAGACCTGCATTCTGATGAAAGAGATGAGACGAGCAGTAAACAAATAAGCAGAAAACACTAGAGATAGTAAAGAGTGTTAAAGAGAGCACGTACCAGTGATGTGATAGAGGAGGCCTAAAGAACTAGAAGGAGCAAGCTGTGGGAGCATCTGGAGGAAGAGGGATCCCAGCAGGGGAACTAGTAAGTACTGAGGCCCCACGGTGGGAATGACCAGATTGAGTTTAAGGCAGCAGGGTCAGGCCCCTGAACCTGGCAGGGAATGAGGGGTTTCTTGTCAAAACTCCAGCTGGGGCTTTCGGAGCCAGAAGGGCAATGTGAGTGCTAGTTTCTATGCTTCCCACTGTGGACACTGTGGGGCCGATCATGAGATGGCATTTGCTAGAATTAGCATCCTAGGTGCTTGGCCCTGGAATATCAGGGCCCCCAAAAGTGGGACCTACCTCCCACTGGATTGCTTGGCAGCAGCCACAGAATGAAGCTGTGAGCCGAGTGCCTGCCCCTGGACACAGATTCCAGCGTTTGCTGCCTCAGGCAGGTACTGGTTCTAGAGTGGATACAGCTATGACTTTTTGTAGAGCCTTTTCTAGTTTTATTTTTAAAAAAACTTTGTTTCCCAATCTTTGTTTCTGTGGTTTTTCTTATTTGTCCACCAGGTGTCCCCAGTCTATAACTGGACTCTTCTCTCACTGGGATTCCCAGCATTTGAGCTGTGGGTTCCTAAGGAAGCAGGGCCATTGAAGGGCCTTCAAACCACTACCACAACTACCACTTCTTGGCCTAGGAGAGATGAGATGGTGTGTCCTTATCCCTGACTTCCCTGAGGATCTATCTCTATGTGATTCTTGGCAGAGGTGTGGGTCACTGGGCCACATGCCCAGCCCATGCCCGACCAGCTGTCTCTCGCATATGACCCACACACTGGTTTCTGTCATTGTAGGCTGGGCCAAGCTTATTCTTACCTTGCTTGTACTCTCAGTGTTTCTCTGAGCACCATAACTCCTGGGGATCCTGTTAAAAATGTAGAACTTAGGCCTTGGTCCCCACCCCCATCCTGCCACACAGACATTTCTAATTCTGGGGTTTGGGTAGGGATTTAGGAATCCTCATTTTTAACAATGCCTGCAGGAAATTGTAAAACAGGTGATCCAGAGACTGTCAAAAGTATTCCTGATTGATGACATTTTCCCATCTCATTTCCCCTGCTATCTTAAAGTCCCAGTTTCTCTTCAGATTTGCCTGTTCATTTTTGAGAGAGTGGCAAGAACACAAGATGTTCTGAGGGGGTTGGGGAAAGCCTTTTGTAAGGGTGGGGTGGGAGTATACCTGCTCCCTGGAAGCAGGGCACCTTGGCAAGCTCTCCCTGTCAACCTAAGGGGGTGCTTCTGGGACCCTATGGAAGGACCTGAGGTCTCTTTTGCAGAGTATGGGAACTGTGGCCATAAATGTCTCTTTGGAAGACCCTGGAGCGAAGCTGCCGCAAAGCTGTTTTCTGTGGGATAAAACCAAGGGGCGGGGGTAGCTCTTCCAGGGCCTCCTTGCTTGGGGGTCTTTCTCCCAGACTGGCTGGAGCCAGGCCTCCCTAATCCTGCAGTAATCATTCCCAGCCGCTGGCTGATCTAGGCCTCATCCAGGGTCTGTAACACTGGATGTTAGCCATGCCTTCCACACTCAGAATACCAGGTCATTCCTGCCCATAAGGACGTGGGCTCCACGTTCTGATCTCCCAGAAGCCAGACATGTTCTCCAAAATCCTCAGGTTTCCAGAAGGGGAACTCTGAGGTCTCTGGGAATTGGGGATACAGGGATAGATACGTATTTGCCTATTTGTCTTGCCCCACCCTCCTAGCAGATACCCCCACACAGCATAAATCAGAATGATGAGGGGGAGGGGAAGCTAAATACCCCCAACCCCACGCCTTATACAAACACATTCCGCTCCACACCTGCCTTAAACTCCTCCTCGTATCAGGATGTAGTCCAAAGTATTCACAGGAGTCCTTGGAGCCCAGAAAGCAGTAGGAGACCCCCTGGGTCCTGTGTAAGGTCCCTGGAGGGCCACTACCTGTGCACCAAGCCATAGTGGACTGAGTGAGACACATTACCTGGCCTAGGACCAACTCTGCCTGTCTCCAGCTAGATGTAAGGATCTCCTCTCAGCTCAGCCTCGCCAAGCAAGTTCCAGTTGGATTTGCAGCCCTGTCCTCAGATTGACACACTTGGTGAGAGAGAGGGTCCCCAGGGTGAGGGGGCAGCTTTGGTCTTCCAGCAGCTTCCTTCCTACTGGGGACAGATTTGAGAAGGGAGTAAACTCAACAGTGTCCTACAGCCCAGGTGTTCAGGCTGCAAGTAGAGCCCAGATAGCTGCAGACTCCAGCTGCATACGGTGCCATAGGAGAGTCCTTGGTGCCTCCCTGCCGTACAGGTCAACTTCCTGTTTGTGCCTGTGGGTGGGACTTTATGAGTCTAAGGGAAGCTTGGCCCCGTGGGGGCCAGAACTGGCAAGCCTCCTCACCAGGGCAGACACCTACTTCAGGGAAAAGGGTGGTGTTGGTTCTGCTAGGGCAGCCCCAAGAAGGAGGGTTGTTTTGGTGAACCCTGAGCCTTCTTTGTCTGCTTGCCAGGGCTTTCCCCTGTTTGGGGAGTGGGCTGGGAGTGGATCGGGCTGGGCTTTCTAGGGACTGAGGGAAGGTGGCCTAGTCAAGCCCTATAGCCAGCTTAGTTAAAGCGGCTAGTAGTTTAGCTCTCAGTAAACGTGCTACTAGCCCCTTCCCTAGGTTGAAAGTCAAGTTCAGGAAGTCAGAGGCCAGAGGGGCAACCTCGGGCCACCGTCCAGTTTCTGCTGGGCGGGTACTGGGTTGGTTGGTAAGGGGGTGCTGGGCAGACCACTCCCCTTCCCGGGTCGGGGGCGCGGCCTCAGCTGCCCCGCCCCACTTCACCAGGCCGGGCCAGGCGGGCGCCCAGAGCGTGGAGCCCGGAGCGGGCTTGGGAGCCGACAGATCGGTGGCGCGGCTGTGCCCGCGCTGGAGCAGGAGCCGGGCCGGGGCTGCAGCGGCGGTGCAGGTGGTGCTGGGTGAGTGGTGGGCCGCGGAAGCGTAGGAACTCCTGCCTCCAGCACATCCCCTCTGTGAAGCGAACTTTCCTAGTCCCTGGAAGCTGGGGATCGGGGTGAGGGGGGGTTCCTCACTGCGTGGGGAGTCTGCACTGGGAGGAGACACGGAAACTCGCACCGACGAGCCCATACGCGTGCCAACATACCCACACGCGCACTTGGGACACACGAACACACGTGCATTCAGGAAAGGAGGCGCCCAGTGGGTCAACCTTGCAGTTGCAAGGAGAGCGTCAGGGCCCGCGCGGACCCGCTGTGGGCAAGGCACTGTGCCATCGCAAACTTGGAGCAGTAGAGGGGAAAAGGGGCAGCCCCGTGACCTCCAACGGGGGCGGGGCGGGTGGGACGCATCCGGAGGTTCCTGCTTTCCGACCGCTCGCAGGTGAAGTCTTCAAGACGTAAACAGGCGCCAAAGCACGTGATCGTACGGTAGCCTAGTGCCCGTGCTCCCCTGACTCTCGCCACATGCGGGGACTTCCCCTCCCCAGGCCCAGGCGAGTTTACACGGCCCCACAACTGACTGTATTCCATTCTACGTCTCGAGCCTCGAGCGGTGATAAACCCTCCCCCAAGAAATGCGAGCACAACGCCCCCTAGAGCCAGGGTGGCGCAGGACAGGCTGTTGGACAGGGTTGAGGTTACCTGGGTTCCTTGCCTTTCCTCGCGCGAATATATTCTTGGTGTCCCCATCCCTGAAGGGATGAGGCAGGATTTTCCGTGGTGGCAATGGACGGCTGTCCCGGACCGCCCCCGAACTCCTAGTCTAGGGAGCAGCTGCCTGAGTGACTGTGGATTCCCTTCCTACCACCCATCCCCCCGTGGCAGGACTTGGCGCTCCTCCCCACAATTGAGGAACAAAAAGCCCACCCATACAAGAGTTGGAGTCCCCCCTCCCCCAAGGGCATGAGTGTAAACACCCCTTCATATCGAGTGGGCCTACTCCTTTAGGAGAAAGGAGAACGAATCCTCCCCCAGGATGGTGGCCAGTGGCCCTCTCCCTCCCTCCCCGCCCCCACGCGACCCCCCTACACACACGCTGAGCCCAGCTGCTGCCTGAGCTTCTGGGCAGGCTGCCGGGAAGGGGAGGAGGCACTTGGTGTCCCTGGAGGCTGAGTTCAGGTCAAGGCCAGAGGAGGGGGTCTCTTCTGGGAAGAGGGTCTCAGGCTGTTCTTGTGAGGCTGAGGGTCTAGGATGAGCCTAAAAGTGGTTGGGCTGTGTTTCCCTTTCAAGGGAAAAAGAAAGAAAAACAACCCTTTCCATAGTGCTAAAAATAGAGCTGAGAGCTAGCCAGAGCTGTGGCCTGGAAGAGGGGTATGCTCCTTCCTGGGGCGGAGCCGAGCTCTGGCAGGCCTTGGCTCTGGGGGGGGCAGGGAGACTGTCTTTGCCCAAGGGGGCCAGCATCCACTGACCTGACCAGGTCACAAAGACCCCCACGGGAAAGTCTGTGGAAGAATATGTTTGTGAAACCAAATGTGTATGTGTAACAAGTTGTCTTGTGAATAAGACTGTCAATGTATGAAAGATGGTTACGAGACCAAGTGTATGTAAGATTGTGACCGAGTCTAAAAGACTGCAAAATAAGGCGTGGGACACCGAGGGTGCCTCTGTGAGAGTTGGCCTGAAAGATTATGGGAAGAAGG